CTAATGTGTGAATTAAACACCCAGCAACAAGTATGTTAACAACCCAGTAGGCTGATTGGCAATCAGCTTTACTCAAAAATTTGTTTTGGTGTTGCTATGTTCCTGGTAGGACAGACTCAAAAGTTTAGACACACAGTCAAGCAAATTAGAATGAGATATCTCCAAGATTTTTACTCAAAGATTTGTACAGAGATTTTTACATATTTGGTGCAAAGGTATTATGTGAAAACACCACAGACAGACAGACAGACAGACAGACAGACAGACAGACAGACAGACAGACAGACAGACAGACAGACAGACAGACAGACAGACAGACAGACACACACACACACACACACACACACACACACACACACACACACAAGATTATAAAAGCATTCATAGTAGAGCGGATCACCAATAAACATACTATGGTTATGTATAAGCAAGCCAATGACATCAATAGTTTGACTACCCCCCCCCCCCCTCCCCAGTGTCTGTTAACCTGAAAGTACACTGGAATTACATATTTATCACATATATCCTACTACTTGACTGAATGAGGTATATACCCAATAAAACAAGTCTCTGTTGCTTAATAGTAAAACATAGCATAATTATAACAACCTTGCCCATTGAGAATATAGATATTAAATAATGAAAAAGAAATTAGAATGAATACATTTTTCAAAACAATTGGACTACTATGGAAATTTACAAAAAAACAATACAATTTGATTTTACATAAACCCTTGTCTTTAAATCTAAGGGTGTCTTCCACAAAATGAGATAAACAACATTCATTCGTTTATTTATACATTAAACAAATGTTTTATTGTAACTCAAATTTTTACCAAAATCTGGAAAACCAGAAATGCTAGTCGTGGCAAAATTGAACTTGGTTTATAGTGAATGATAAGTTTGAAAATGTAACCTATTGTAACCTCAAAAAGAACATTTTGAAAAATATCTTTAAAAATTAATAAGCAAATCATATCACGACTGAGCTTGGGCAAGATTGCATACTGATTAATATAATATCCAAGTTTGAAGACGATCGAATAAAAATTTCTTTTATTGCAATGACAAGAAACAGAGGTAACAATGATAAAAGCTATGATGATGATGCTAACATGCAACTACAATGACGATAGCGACAACAAAACACATACCCCCCCCCCCTTACATGTACATGTACTTTTCACTTCATTAACATTATGGACTACAGACTAACAAAAGTGACATGATGTATAATGTAGGTATAAAATCTGATATGGATTCATTAGGTTCACCAGTCACCATTAAATCCAGTTCTGGAATGGCAGAAATGTTTGATGTTTAAGCATTTTAAACACTAATATGGCCATCATTCAACCTTCTTGAATAGGATTGTGAAACAAATGAACATCTAATCCATAGATCTCCCAAGATGTATGATGTACGTGTGAAATTTGAAGTGATCCGCACTGGCATGTCAGAGATATAGGTGGAGACGGGTAGAAAGAGGTTAATACAATTAGTCCCTGTTGTCAAACTGCGTCTGCACAAGACTAAAAATGTCTTCAATTTCGTATTAAAATCCAGTGCCATTTACTTCATCCATTCACATATTTGCGGCAATTCATACATGTAGTGATTAAACTGAACAGGTGATCAACTACGTCTGACATCACAATACACAAGAGCAATGAATTACAAAATGAAAACTTCAACTCAAAATATGTTTTTTATATTAAAGATCAATGTACAAAAATCTCTTTGAAACAAATTACCCGGTAGTTTTTTAAAGAGATTCAAATCAGAGAACATACATAGCTTGTCAACATTGATACCCTGGATAACACCATAGTAACAGTGACATGGCAACCAATCAAGAATTTCACACAAAATAGTAAACTATCAACACCAATAGTTATATTATTTAATATATTTTTTTCAAAAATATGCATTATTATAATACAAAAATTACAATTGCTTGTAATTTGCATGTTTTTGTTTAAAGTTTGAAATGGAACACCTATGCTAAAATTTCATCTTTCTGGTTTACCATTGGTCAAAACGTTATATACCATTATTGGTCAATGTAGTTACTACTTTATGAAAATTCCATGATTGTTTAAAACTTCAAGAGGGAGGTAAAACTGACCATGTTTGGGACTACCTCTCTGAATGGACCATGCTAAAAATCAGGATCGGGAAAAAAAGAATAATCCAGAAAAGGCCATGAGGACTACGTTAGAATATGTGATACTGAGCTGGGGTGACAAACAAGCATTAAAATGAAATGATCCCTAAGTCCACAATATAAAGACCAAACAAATTCAACTTTAAAGCGAGGGAGTCGTCACCTGCGCAAGCGTCAGATAGCCATAGCGTGTCATTGTTTACAAAGTGTCTTTGTGTTGTTATCACTGCTTGGGACATGCGCAGGTGACGACCCCCCCGATTTAATATCAATTATATTAAAATGTCACAGTCATCACAGTGCATTGAGGGGTACCACTTGGGTAAAATACAATCATTTTATACAAAACTGATCCGCATAATGGAGGACGACTGCGGCACTTTAAGTGCTAGGATCTAAGAACATAGATTAATTCACAAATTTTTTCTTCAAGTTCTAAATTTTAAATTGGTGAAAATTGGTTTTCTGTGGCTTGACTGCCATCTTGTTTGTTTTTTATATGCATGAATACTTTTCCCAATATAAATGGTTCAAGAACTGTCAAAATGAAAAAGGGGAAAGTTGAAACCTTATGTTCTAGGATCAGCTGGATTCCATTAAAGAGTAACCTGTGTGTTCCTGAGATAACATCATTCAGGAATGTACACAAGTTCCTCATTATATGATTGAGACACACACACACACACACATACATAAAAACACAGTAAAACCAACATTCCAAAAAGTTACATAATGATAAAAAGTCTGAAGTTTTTAATGAAGCAAAATGTCTGCAATGCTCAAGCAGCATTCAAATGGAAAAAAGTTTGCCAGCCAGGAGTCTATTAAACACCATATGGATTAATGGCGGAGCTAGGTGAGCTATTATGGATGATATTCTTACCGATATGTCTGTCATAGGTGGGAGCACTACAGTCTTCTCCATCGTGTTAACAACTATCTTCCATAATTCTTTTAATAATCTTTTTAAAACTGTCTTTTCACATGTTTGTGCAAACATTGTTAAACTATAGAGAGAATAGCAACATATGTGATGAGAACATAGCTACATGTATACCTTGATATTAGTACTTAGAATGTCCATATATCAACACTGTACTGGTTCAAATCCTAGACTCAATATTGACACCTTTCATCATGATCTTCAAAGACAACTTCATACTTTATCACCATGTGATATGGAATACGAGTACCTTACCTGCCATCAAGAAGATCCATCAATGGTCGAAGTACTACATCAGATTCTGCTTGAACACTGTTACGTTGACTAGGTTGACTCAACGCCACGTTACCAGCACCCTTCACTTTACTTAATAAGCCACTTAGTTGTTGTACACTCTCTTGTATTCGTGGCTCCAAACTTGCAAGAAAAAATAGATATTTATTTTGAAAAAAAATTTCTAAAACTTTGTGAAATTATTTTTTTTGATTGACTTTTAAAAATTCTGAAGAAATAACTGAACTAGTTCTAGAAATATGAACCTGTTGTATACATATCGTTTATTTTCCAATTCAAAAAGCCAGATAAAATAATTATATACCCGGTACCAATAAGTCATCATTTACAAGAATAACAGATTTTTTTTTGCTTTTTTCGTCACTTATTAGAAGGAACCTTCAACGTGCATTTAAAATTTCAACATTCAGCCTTAATGCGAGGTGGCAATAACAAAATGCAGACTGTACAAGTGTACATTGCTTAGTGATTGATGTAAGTGAACATACCTGGTTGCAAATACCTGGCTAAGCTGATCTAATACTGTATTTAGTTTAGCTTGTAATTCCTTCAGTATATCAGCTGCATCAGGATCGAGTTTGTCTCCTCCCATGGCTTCAAACATTTTCTCTAACTGAACCCTTAATTGCTGTATATTATTCATTAATGTGCATGACTGAAAACATGAAGACATGCATGTCAATTTTAGTGTTCACACTTTGCTTATATTAATCTGACTACGATGAATAGAATCTATCATATTTTATTGAAACTGTAAAGAAAATGTTGCATTTCTTTTTTGTAATAAAAACAACAAATATAGTAATAAACAAAAGACATGGAATAGCTGATTCACTTTTGAACTGTATATTGTTTACTGTTTCAATAATATACTTAAACTGTTCCTTCTTATTTGTGTTTTGAAAGTCTTGGTTGATTTGGAGAGGCTCTGTTTGTTTGTAATTTCCCTTTCCACAATCATCCTTTTTTTTCTTTATGTAGAATGGTAGTTCATAATTGTGTGCTGTACTGCAAACTGTTTTTTGTTTTAAAAACTGCATATTTGACTTATTAAATGATATAAATTGACAATTGACACGTTATTACAGTAAAAACATTAAATAAACCCCTTTAATTTCGTGAGAGACAAAATTTCACAAATTTGTGAGTCAGTAAAAGTTGTGAAATATTGTTGCAGTTAAAATTCTTCTTGGGTCCTTTGACACAATGCTTCAGTTACTTTCACAAAAATCAGACAGCTTTTCTGAAAAATTGGCAGCTAATTAGGACATGCCTCATAAAGTACCCTGTAAAACAAGTTCTGACTAATGCCAATTGACACAAAACACATGGTGACAGATACATGTAGTAGTGTATGGACTGTAAAATGTAATAGTACACTAAATGTATCCAGACACCCACAAAACATAGACAAATTATTGAAGACTTACCTTCATTCAAGAACACAGAAAATTTCTCTACACAAGCAATCAATGACGAGTGTTAAATATAGAAGATATTAAATGTAAAATTAGTGATTTCAAAATTTAAGTACTTACTATTTTTTCTCTGCTACAGTATTTATCAAAATCTCTAGACACTATACCAGCGTAAGCCAACAGCACCTTATTTATTGTCTGAAATGTAACATATCAGAATAATTAGGGGCATGGTCAAATCAATGATTGGTTAAAAATAACCATGTGACCTTAGCAATATTTATGTAAATCAATAAGACATGGACAAATATAATTATGCATTTTAAACAAAAATGTTAGGTAGCATACCTTGGCAAATCGTTTCATATAGCGCCTCATAATATCAGGATCGGGACATTCTAATTTCTTGATAATTTCAAAACTTTGATTAAGTTGAGTAAAAACATCTACTACGGAACATGAAAATAATGTGTGTTCTGAGCTCTTTTGAAACCCGTCTTTTTTGTCTCGATCCAAAGCACCATGGAGAAATTCTATTGACACTTCTTCGTTTTCATTTAACCATTGCATTACAAATGGCTCAAACCAGCTGCAATGAAAATTAGATGAGTTATCATCAGTATTTGCTATGAAACCCTACTTTATATTAACATATTCTACGTGTACAGTTTGTGTGTTGACCAGAATATGTTACTGCATAGTATTTTATTGAGTTTTGTTTTCATTACTTACTAGTAATGTTCTATAATCCAATGAATATTTAAATTTAACCACAGAATGTATTGTTTCCTTGTTTGAATTTAATATCTAGTAAATATACCTGAAACATCAAATATGTTAAAACATACACTGGGATAAAATAAAAGAACCAACAAATACACTTTAAATTTAAAAATAAATCATAAAACTATTTAAAACTGGCAAATTCTAAAAACATATTAAAAAATGTTCAAACAAATTGCAGTTACAGATCATATTAAGTGAGCAGAGCAACAGTGTGTAAACTAATTCCAAAAAACCCACTCAAATAAGTAGTTTATTATATTATTTAAATGGCCAATACCAATGGTACGTAAAAGTTTCTGAACATAATTGGGCAACAAAATGTCTCCAATTCGCTGTTTCACACAAATTTTGTTTTCGTCAAAATTTTCATCCAATTTAATTTTTTACAAAAATTGTTTTTAGCAACAAACCCAAATGCAATGAGCATACCTTTATGTACTTTTTTTTATATTTTATTTTATTTTTACATTAATCACATATATAAATACATAAAATCCCATCAAAAGAATACATTTTTTACACAAAACCATGGTAACAAAATAATTATAACAATACGAAAATAAAGTAAAGTAAAAAGAAAATAAAAGAAAAGAGGATATGTCAACATCACAGCATATTTAATGATTCAATTTTTCAGTGTGCTTCACTAATTTGCCTCCCCCTATCGCTATCTCTATCACTATGTTACCTTTATGTACTTTATATATTTCCAAATATCAATAGAAATAAAGACTTACGCAGGATATTCTGCAACAGTTCCTTTATATGGTGATATTTCACCAATATATTCATTATATAACCACTTGACTTTAAAATGAAGATTCATATATTCTGCACTGGTACATAGTCTTTGCTGTTCATGCTCTAGAGATAAAATAACAAGTTATTACAACATCTGACTACTGCCTGTTATCAACAGATTGACATGTGCACACTGTTCCCACATGCTGATATTGTGGAACCTTGTTATGCAAGCTACGACTAGGAGTGATACCTTCTGATACAAAGATGTGCATTTTGATAAACATTTTATCACATATCTTTAAAACATGGATGCTACCAAAACACAATGGCTGATTTTCTTAATAGGAATCACTAAATCCATTTTACATTTAAGATCTAGTTTTCTAATGGCAGTATTGGAAAATGACCAAACTGTTGTTTCCATGGATACTAGCATGAGTACTCTCTCTTTCTATTTGCATTTCATAATTTTTTTATTGTAGCCTGTGAGTCAGCATTACCACTGTTTAGACTACTGTACATGAGACAGCCAATGAGCAATGCAAATAGAATAGTTAGAACATCTCTTTGTGATGGCCTGCCTAGCTCTACAGAAGCAGTGTGCAATCACGTATCACAGGGTCAAGGGTCAAACACATCACCATAGCAACTCAACCACAAGGACCTGGAAAACAATTCTTGCTCAATGGAAATATTAATTTTCTTCAACTACTTTTTTGTGATTACTCATACATTAAGACAACTTTTTATCTTGATACCAACTAATTTGTTCTGAGCAAGGCGTGTGGAAGGGCAGCTGGCAGTTGTCACCTCTATATTCTCCACAAACCAATGAGTATCTCCATGTATAACTGAGCAGACATTCAAAAACATATTTGAACTACGAGTGTGTACTGATATTATCTATAAAATGCTTCACCATAAAATATTGCTGTAATATGCTACTGAACTACTAGAGATTAAATAAAATTATAACAAAAATAACATCCATGGAACAAGAATTTTCTTCTTTGTGTGGGCAGAGAACAACAACATTCAATATGATGACATCGTGTGAGACAAAACACTTATGTGAAGACAGGTGAAAAATGTTATGAAGCAACTGCTAAGTTAGAAAACAAATGAATAGACAAAGAAAACTGACATGCAAATAGTGAGGCACTGCACTTGAGAACTGGAAATACAGAAACTACATAACTAATAATAAACATCTGGTTCCCAGCAAGTCAAAATGTATATTTTTCGAACCTTCTTTTTTGTACTAATTGGTTTTGCCCCCAAATTTGGTCTTAATCTATGACATACACACTGTACATGGATACATCAATGATTGGCGATGCAAGCCCAATAACTTACTCTCCAAATCTTTTGCTAAATCTTGAGAAAGAGGGAAATAGGATATAAAGGTAAAATATGAGTTGACAAGTCCAGAAAAAGAGAAAAATAAACATCAAAAAGGCGGATTTTCAGAAAAAGATGACTAACAGTAAGAAGGAAGAACAACTGGGTAGAGAATAGTGTAAAGGGAAGTCTATTTGAAACTAGTATTCATCATTCAATGGAATTAATTATAATAGTTCAAATTCTTTTCATTTTATCTTGCCAAAAAATATCATTTGACTAAAATATATTAGCTAACAATGCAATGGAAACACAAAAATGAAATGGGAATTTTAAAGAAATCAGATACTCAACCACAAAAAGCTAGGCAGCCTCATCGCTCATTCAAAACAAGCTAGACAGCCTTTAGCTTGCTACTCATTCACAGCAAACTAAGCAGCCTTGTTTTAATCACATGCTGCCATGCAAATTATATGAAGTACATGATTGCTATCATTGAGGGCCCACATTCAGTAGAATCACATGTCTGACAACACAAAATACAGGGATAAGACAGAACTGTCATGAAAATAACAAAATACCATTTTTGTGTTTGTAATGATAAACAAGATAAATAATATACTTAATACGGGAAAGACCTTAATCGACTGTAACTATGTCCAAACTCACAATCTATGCATATCAAAAACAAACCCAATAAATCCCCCCCTCTATATTTAGCAAGTATGGTTTAAACAAAGTAACCTAGAAACCTGGTTTTTATCTGGATGCTATTTTGTAAATCCAAGTGTCAAAGATTAAATCTGTATAAAGGTAAGAATTCTAACTCGTATCAAAAAACGGGTCAAGCAATGGGTTTAAATCAACACAGGAAGTACATGTACAGCTCATTACTGTAACATCAACTCTACTGTAAATTTGGCAGAATGCATAGTACAATAAACACATTCAAACAATTATTTCATTTTCATTTGACTTTGATTAAATTATTAATTCAAATTTTTGTTGTAAACTAACAACAGTTCCACTCATGCCAAAATGAAGAAAGCAGTTTCTATAATTTTTTGTCAGAAATTACTAGTACTGGTAATTGTCACATGTTAACAATCTTTTGAAATGGCCTTGAGATACCCACTCAAAGTTATGCATGTACTGCAAGGATATTTACTCATTTAACAAATTACTACTAAACAATCAGAAACATAATGACAGGGAAAAACAATGCTAAAAATAATACAGATGATAAGTGTGATTCTGAGATTATTTTCATCTGTCACAGGATTACAGTTGTATTTTAAAATACTGTTATACATATACTGGTATAAATACTTCCATTTGATTGTGTTCAAATTTTCTCCAACACACACAGAGTTGCTTCTGTTACAAACTAATGTGGGTTACAGAAATACAAAACAAGTCTGAATTCTAATTATTTACCCACAATACATTGCATTACATAATAATTCGATAGCTCTTAACTAAGTAAGTAAAACCCAGACTGTCCACTTGACATCAAAATAATCAATAGCAAGAATCAAGAAAATAAAGACATACCTTCAAGAGCATACTTCATATCCTGAGCAAACATGCTCCACATGGAAACAGCACTCAGCTGCCCGACATTAAGCTCATTTGGAAATCTAGAAAACCAATTGACAGTTAATATTAATTCATGATAAATGTCAGCTCCATGTTTCACCTTAAACCTGATCACCCTGTAATTTAATATAATCTCAAACAGTTCATGTATCAACACTAGAATGAGGTAAACAGATAGAAATTGTATACTTACTGGTTTAACACAGGTGTGTAACTATTCTTATCCTCTTCAATAACGGAAACAATTAAGGAAATCAACTTGGGCCAGAAATCCAGACTCTTGGCACTTGGACCATTAGCTGCATCAGCTTCACTTACTTCGGGCTGATCACTTTGATCGGTTTGAAATTCTCGCTGGTAAAGTTCATAGCAGTTATCAAAGATATATTGATACGTAGATTTTAAACAGGCTTTGACACAGTCTTTAACAACAGTGGCAGCACGCGGTGGGCTGGACAATTCTAGCACCTTCATTCTGAAGAATGTGATGCTGGTTAGCAGGTCTACGGTGGATTTTAAATCAGCTAATTTCTCCGGGCTGGATGCAGGAAAATTATTCTGTATATGAAGAGATGAACAATTACAATGTATGTGTACAGGCTGGTATAAATATGATCAGTACATAAGTTATATGGATATTCTAAAAACATTATTATGATCAATAGTATCTGTCAGAATTATCTGGGGTATTTAGGATCTAGCCTGTATGTTCAATATCACTCATGATGTTTAAACAATAATGAACGAGCTACAGGTCGTTCATTATTTGTTATTATTTGTCAGTGTTGTCAATACAGGTGAATTTGCTGACACTAAAAAACAGAAAATATAAAAGTCTACAGTGAACAGAAGAGTTTTATAGTCCCTTGAATCTGCATAATTTAAAATGTTATTCTTGAAGCAAAATGACAAAATAAAATAAAAAGTTTTAAACCATCGAATATTATAATTGTATTTTAATTACTTTACATTGTCATGTGTGGTGTGGAGTAAAGTGTACATAGTGACTATCCATAACCTTGCACTATGTTATGCTGGCGTGTGTGTGCATAAGTCTCTGACAGATCCTAGCTGCAGATCAACTTTCTATCATAATGCGTAGGTACATGTAATAATAATTGATGAAGTCTTTACAAAACTTATATCTTATTTTAATATTAAAAATCTGTTGTTATTGCTGACAATGGACCATTTTATTTGATGCCAAATTTCATTATTAAATACTTGCTATTAAAGTCATAATTTCATTCTTTTTAAATAACTTCTCCTTTATTCATTTTCAAAAACAACATTGAAGACACTGGTTGTGCCAATCTGTGCAATGGAAGAGACTGGTTACTTTAAATTGACACTGGTTGGGCCAATCTGTGCCATAAGAAGAGACTGGTTACTTCAAATTGACACTGGTTGGGCCACTCTGTGCCATAAGAAAAGACTGGTTACTTTAAATTGACACTGGTTGGGCCAATCTGTGCCATAAGAAAAGACTGGTTACTTCAAATTGACAATGGTTGGGCCAATCTGTGCCATATGAAACAACTGGTTACTTTAAATTGACTCTGGCTGGGGCAATCCGTGCCATAAGAAGAGATTAGTTACTTTAAATTGACACTGGTTGGGCCACTCTGTGCCATAAGAAGAGACTGGTTACTTCAAATTGACTCTGGTTGGGCCAATCTGTGCCATAAGAAGAGACTAGTTACTACAAATTGACACTGGTTGGGCCACTCTGTGCCATAAGAAGAGACTGGTTACTTCAAATTGACTCTGGTTGGGCCAATCTGTGCCATAAGAAGAGACTGGTTACTTCAAATTGACACTGGTTGGGCCACTCTGTGCCATAAGAAGAGACTGGTTACTTCAAATTGACTCTGGTTGGGCCAATCTGTGCCATAAGAAGAGACTGGCTACTTCAAATTGACACTGGTTGGGCCACTCTGTGCCATAAGAAAAGACTGGTTACTTTAAATTGACACTGGTTGGGCCAATCTGTGCCATATGAAAAGACTGGTTACTTTAAATTGACACTGGTTGGGCCAATCTGTGCCATATGAAACAACTGGTTACTTTAAATTGACTCTGGCTGGGGCAATCCGTGCCATAAGAAGAGATTAGTTACTTTAAATTGACACTGGTTGGGCCACTCTGTGCCATAAGAAAAGACTGGTTACTTTAAATTGACACTGGTTGGGCCACTCTGTGCCATAAGAAAAGACTGGTTACTTCAAATTGACAATGGTTGGGCCAATCTGTGCCATATGAAACGACTGGTTACTTTAAATTGACTCTGGCTGGGGCAATCTGTGCCATAAGAAGAGATTAGTTACTTTAAATTGACACTGGTTGGGCCACTCTGTGCCATATGAAACGACTGGTTACTTTAAATTGACTCTGGCTGGGGCAATCCGTGCCATAAGAAGAGACTGGTTACTTTAAATTGACTCTGGCTGGGGCAATCCGTGCCATAAGAAGAGATTAGTTACTTTAAATTGACACTGGTTGGGCCACTCTGTGCCATAAGAAAAGACTGGTTACTTTAAATTGACACTGGTTGGGCCACTCTGTGCCATAAGAAAAGACTGGTTACTTCAAATTGACAATGGTTGGGCCAATCTGTGCCATATGAAACGACTGGTTACTTTAAATTGACTCTGGCTGGGCCAATCTGTGCCATAAGAAGAGATTAGTTACTTTAAATTGACACTGGTTGGGCCACTCTGTGCCATATGAAACGACTGATTACTTTAAATTGACTCTGGCTGGGGCAATCCGTGCCATAAGAAGAGACTGGTTACTTTAAATTGACACTGGTTGTGCCAATCTGTGCCATAAGAAGAGACTGGTTACTTCAAATTGACACTGGTTGGGCCAATCTGTGCCATATGAAACGACTGGTTACTTTAAATTGACTCTGGCTGGGGCAATCCGTGCCATAAGAAGAGACTGGTTACTTTAAATTGACACTGGTTGTGCCAATCTGTGCCATAAGAAGAGATTGGTTACTTCAAATTGACACTGGTTGGACCAATCTGTGCTATAAGAAGAGACTGGTTACTTTAAATTGACACTGGTTGGGCCACTCTGTGCCATATGAAACGACTGGTTACTTTAAATTGACACTGGTTGGACCAATCTGTGCCATAAGAAGAGATAAAATGTTTACTTACTCTGTACATTGATAAGTCTATTCTCAGAGAGTTGTGAAGTTGATCAAGCAGTTTTACAAATTTCTCTTTCTGTTATAACAAATAAGATTAACAAAGTTATAATGAGTAATTTTAGTGTGAAGTTTATATCATAGCATTGCATTCAGGTTCCATATTGCAAGCAAAAAAGTCAACCTCATAAAGCATATATAGAATGTAGACTTTACTCACCCCAAAGTTAGTTGCTGCAAATCGATCACTTGCAGATACGGCACTTGAGGCTGTTGTATGGGCATAGAAAGCATTAATATTGGCCAGCAGAGTACTCATAACAGCAGGAACACCAGGACTCATGTACTTAGATGACAAACATGAAAAATGTCTATAATATATAAGCAAAAGAATAACCCTAGTTAAGGTAAAATGTCAATTTGCAGAATATTTTAACGAAGCGAAGCTTCTACTGAGCAATTTGTTTACACCCAGGAACTGTTAAACATGTAGATGTCAAACATTCAAATTTTTTTTTTTATTGTACTGTGTAGAGTCTTTCTTTCTTCTTCTTGGATGACATATAACAGACTTATTTATTTGTCTGATTGCTTACGTCATAGCTTGGTATATTGATTCAATTCCAAATCTCATTGCAAATTCATCTACTATTTCTTGTGATGGTTCATCAAAGTAGACTTTCCATGCATCATCTCCTCGTGCTGTTGGAATTTTTACCATCCCATTCTGCGTCTCACAAAGATGGTGAAAAAGATTCTGAGAATAAAAACAGAATGTACATGGTAAGAGACGATGACTCTGTCTCAGTTTGTGTGAATAGGTGTACTGTACGTGGTATTAAATGATGGCTCTGTCTCAGTTTGTATAAATAGGTGTACTGTACATAGTGACGGTTATGTCTCACCTCATGCAAGCAGGTGTACTGTACATGGTATGGAGCAACTGCTTTCTCTTCACCTTTAACCTCTATGCTTATATGTAAACGAATTGCACCAGAAACAGCTGATTTGTCTGTACGTTTTTCTAAATTATACCAGACATCCATTTCACCACTGAGTGTCCTAACTTCTATAATAGTCTGCCCCAGAAAGTCATCAGATTCCCTAGTTAACTTCTGCATTAATTTGGATTTTAAATCATCATCTTCATCCCTAAAAATAAATGAACAAAATAATGAATGAAAATAATCTCAGAGAAGAATGTTTTGAAAAATTGGAAATCACATCTCAATTACTTGTATACCTCAAAATAAATCACTGGTACATACCATACTCTAACTTTGATTCTGTCTGAAGAATTGTGACATTCAAAATAAAATTTTTCATTCCACTCTGGATTCAAGTCCTGTTGCACTGTGCGTGTTCGTTTTTTCACTTTTCCAACTTGAACTGTTACATAAGGATCACTGGTGCCAGACTTGTCTTTGGCTATCAGTCCCTGGGCACAGACCACTGTGATCGCTAACTTGGCTGACCATTTTGACGTACCATCCAATACACTCTGCTTAACTGCTTTCATATGCCCTGAATGTGCAGTACTAGGCACGCTAAACACCTCTCTAAAAATGAAAATGACAGTTTATGTTAATTGAAAGGCAGTAATGCCGACATTTAAGAAATTTCAAAACTACGCTCAGAATAGATATGCAGGTTATATCTAATTATGCCTGCTAGTATTTTTAATATCTGTACATCAATTTTGAAAGAAAGAATGAGACAAAAATCACAAAAAAAAAAAATTAATTCTTCACCCACCTAATAAGATCAAAAATTTCAGGTTTATTCCTTTCCCTTATTTTCATTCTATCTTTCATGGCCATTATAATGTTTTGTGTTTTATCTTCTGCTCCATGTTTAGAACTCTTCTCGGCAGCCCCTATGTACAGAGAATAGACAGTTATTTGACGTGCATATCATTAAAGCAACATATCTGTTTCACTAACTGATTCATGGGTAATATTTCATAGAGGTTTTTCAAATACATCCATGGAAATACTCCAACATAAAACCAATATGTATTGTAGCAAAAACTGCATTTAACAGGATTGACTATGTTTTCACTTTCAATATTACCCAGAACAGGGGGCTTAAAGCAATTATGTATTATTGATGAGACCATGGTACACTGCCGTGGTGCCATTTGGTTGCAGTTTGAGCCATTACATGTACATGTCCAGTGGTACCACCTGTTGCAGTCAGAATCATCCCATGTA